AACATCAAACAGATCTACATTCCGCGTACATTTTAGTGGGAAGTAAAAGTTAAATGGAGGCGCGGGGTATCGATCCCCGTACCTCTCGCATGCTAAGCGAGCGCTCTACCATCTGAGCTACGCCCCCGTACGACACCTTGAGGATTGTAAACAGGCTCGACACGTAACGCTTGAACTTGATTAGTATTTTAACTAGGTCAATCGAAGGTGTCGCTTGAGACTAGAATAGTGAGAGTGAATGTGCCTTAGAATAGTGCTCCGCAACCTTTTCATCGCTGCGAACCGGTCAACGTTTGATAATTTTACCGCGGCCCGCTGAGGGTGGGACACGTTGATTGTTTATATTTTAGATTGTTTTGATTTAACAATTTAAATTTAGTTACATTTATAAATATGCCTTCAGAATAAAATATAGTTACACCAAAAATGAATAAAATTGATCTAACGTGGAATATAAAGTGATTTCCATGGAAAGTTGCGCAAACCCGAGAGAAATGCACCACTTTAAATAAAATGGCAATAGTTTAATATTCTTTAGGCGGCCCGGCACCATTTGATCCACGGACCGGGGGTTGCGGATCACTGCCGTAGAATATTTCAGTGAAATAGAAATAGTTCGATGGATCTTGCTTGAATCTGAGTATTCATTAGAAACACAAAATTTTGATATACTTTTCACTCACGAGTTTACAAAAAGGAAAAAAAAACATTATGAAAATATTTAGGTAACATCAAACAGATATAAATTCATCGTCTATTTTAGTGGGAAGTAAACGTTTAACGGAGGCACGGAGTATCCATCCCCGTACCTTTCGCATGATAAGCGAGCGCTCTACCATCTGAGCTCCACCTCCGGACAGCACATTGTTTATTTTATATAAACAAGCTACACTCAACACTCACGCAAGACTGCACGGTAAATAGGGCGATTTAAAATTGTCTGTGGAATACTAGGTTTAAGAGAATAGAGTCGTATAGAATGTTTCATAGAAATAGAAGTACAGGGGCAGATCCTGAACACTCTAATTTCTTTGAGCAATTCTTTTTTTTGTGTTTGATTTAGTTCTTCGAAAGAAAACTTTCATATTTTCTTTTCCTTGAGGGTATATTTTCATGCTGATTTAAAAATAGTAGTTTGTTTTTTAATACCGCAAGTATTTTTTTGTAGTACAATTTCCTCAAAAGAAGAATGTATATCGTATACACCCACATTACAGTGTGGCATATCAAAATATACGTTGTAGAATAATCCAAAAACTCACAAATACAGTTATTTTAATATGTATTTTGATAGGTTTTTCATCTTCGAAAGTCAGAGACGTATAGACCAGACTTTTGTTGTAATTACGACCCCACATCATTTTCTCAAGGAATAAGCCCATTTCACTAGAAGTCTTTCGTCACCAAAAGATTGCTGCATTAATTCTCGCTGGTTGAAAAAATGTCTTCGAAATATAATAAGCAGCTTTTTTCCATAAGTTCTGCTTCGTTTTCGGATCCAAACTCTGTCCTGCCTAGTTCGTCTTATTCAAAATATTGACTTGAAAGCTTTATTGGACGAACATTGCACTGTCAGATGCTGTATTTTGACCAGAAAAGTATTCATGACAGTTTTACCAAAAGTTCTCCCACAAATGGCAGCAATTTATTTATGTATTAGAAAAAATATATAAAATAATTTGTCATTGATCAGTACATCAAGTGAAAGTATTCCATCATGATACCGATGAAGTCAATTTTATTTTAGATTGTTTATTAAAGAATGTTTCAGTACTAAAAACTTTAAATGGAAGCACGGGGTATCGATCCCCGTACCTCTCGCATGCTAAGCGAGCACTCTACCATCTGAGCTACGCCTTTATGGTTATAAACAAGCTGGCCATAACAGTTGAACTTGATCGTGCATTAACTGATTTAATCGAAAGTGCCACGTGAGACTAGAATCGAGAGAGTAAATGTCGTAGAATATTTCAGTGAAATAGAAATAGTTCAATGGATCGGGTTTGAATCTGAGTATTCATTAGAAACACAAAATTCTGAGATGCTTGTCACTCAGAAGTTTACAAAAAGGAAAACATGAAAATTTAGGCAACATCAAACAGATATAAATTCAACGTATGTTTTAGTGGGTTGGTAAACGTTAAATGGACGCGCGGCTAAGCGAGCGCTCTACCATCTGAGCTACGCCCCAGCACAGCACTACTTTTATAGCAAACAAGCTTCCTTGAACACTTGAACGAGAGTGTACAGTAACCAAATCAATTAAAAATGTGTGCATGTGAGTGAGGTGAATATGCACATGGGTTATTTATAGCGGAACTGGTAATTACGAACCTTGGTCAAATGACGAGAGCGTCCCCTGAACTGTGGTACCACTCTCTTTTAACATCCACACCAACGGGAGAACATTTGGGCCTCTACAGATTTGACCTGCAGCGTTCATCTTAATGGCGTGTTTTTAGCGGCTTGAGTGAGTGAGTGAATATTAAAGTCGCACTGTACAGCTACTCGAAGGCTTTAGGTGACGGACCTCATTATTTTGAACCATGGTCAAGTGACTTGAACGACACTCGAGTCGGCACCCCCTCTCTTAACAACCACACCAACGGGAGGATGTTTGAGCTCTCGACATATTTAACGTGCATCGCTTCTCTACACGGCGTGTGTTCAGCGGCCCTAGACCCGAAATCATGACACAATGGCCACGCGTCAGTTACTTTGACTATTAGGCCACCGTGGTCACGCGTTTTTTGCACTAAAATTGTTACGAGAGTCCATAGGCAAGTGTAAGGATGCCATAGAATGTTTCTCCGAAAAATAATATAGATTAATGGATCTCAGGCAGTAGCGCACACAAGGGGGGGGGGGGCC